GGGTAATAACGGTGCTGAGCGGTTCACTTCTTCTTCCTGTGCCATAAGCAAGGCATCAAACACGCACGTTGCTTACACGGTGTTCCCACTAGCTATGAGCCAAACTGCGAAGGCTCCGGTAGTCGAACTTAACTAGCTTGTTTATGTCTGCAAATCTAAAGAGCCAGATTACACCACTGTACGGGAGAGTTGAATGGGCGGCCGCATCGTATACTCTACCCTTCAAGGAGAGAGTGATGTCGCGCCGACGCCATAGGTGGCGAAGCTTAGCAAAAGCGCATCGCCCTTTGCTATACACTTTCTGACCTCTACTGTTCTACAGGCTCTGATACAACCGCCTTTGTAGTTGAATTTATGAATGACTTCTAGATGCTCCCCACTAAGTGTCAGCACAGGAGGCGGTTCCTGCTATTTTTGAAAGCAAGCTTTGCATTTCGAGGGTGAAAAACGTAGCCCGAAACGGGTGACAGCAGTACTAATCTGTCCAGCGCCGCTTAGCACCTTTGTGAGCTGTCACCAATGAGGGCAGTGTCGTCGGCATACTTCAAGTCAAAAAGTCGTTCACTTGGGAGTAGCTCCACACTTTCTAAGTTATGTTCTATGAGCGCGATTTCCATGAATACGTCAATAGTGACGTTGAAGAGGAATGGTGACAGCGGTCATCCACCGGAGATATTGAAGGGCGGCGACAGCTTGCCATAAGCCCTCAATGCCCGGACTACGCGCGTGTAGCGCTCGGATAGTATTTACATATTTCTTGGGCCACCTTTTCATAGCAGACAGGTCTAAAGGGCACATCGATCCACCGAATCTGAGGCACCTTTGATGTCTAAGAACACGACGACGGTGGGCCGCCAATATATGTGATGGTACTCCAACTAACGCAAAAGGTAGATGTGATCGTGCAGTCTCTGCGAAACCCGGCTAGCTCCTCACATATCTGACTTTCGTGAGTGCCATACAGTCTGTGAAAGGTGATAGAGGCAACAAATTTGGAGACAGCGGTGATCATACTGATTCCTCTGTGGTTGCCGCATTCCGAACGCGAGTTTCCCTTGAAGATCGGGACAATAACGAAGCGGCTCCAGTGGGTTGGGACAGTTTTCTGCTCCCACAGTTTCATTAGTAATTCGTGTAAATCAGCAACAAGAGCAGGTCCCTCGATTACTGATTACTGGTTGGAAGCAGCAAGTAGAGTTTGCTCTGTGTAGCTGCATCTAATGTCACTTAGGGACAAAGACCCGTTATGTTGTGTTGCGCTCAATATATTTTGCATCGGCAAAGTGTTTGTCCAGCAACTTCTTAAATTCCGACACTGACGTTGCCTCAACTACGTGCTGCGGCAGTCGTCCCATACATTCACCACTGTGTTCGAAACAGAGTTGGCGAGCGACCCGCTTCAAATCCGGTACGACACGCTTGTACCGGTGTTCTCGTGTGCTGCTTGGCGTGCGCCGATGAAGCAGCGGTTTCAACATGGGGTAATCACTCAGATCTACTATCCGGTGTGTCATGATGAGGTCAACCCGCATTCGACGATAAGCTAGGGTGTACAGCCCTAGTTTCTTACATCGGTCTTCGTACGGCACACCTCGTAAGTTGGGAATCAGCCTGGTGGCTACACGCTGAACTTGCTCAATCTTTTCTACCTCGCACCAAGTGATAGGACAATACGCCGGAGAGCCATACTCTAGCATTGGTCGTATTATTGAGACGAAGTGGCGAGTGGCAATCTCTTCGGACCACGTGGTGAAACTGCGCCTGAGCGCCCCAAGCATACGAAGGCTGTTTTGGTAAAGCCTATTTGTGTTGTCCATGGACTTTAAGTCGTAGCGTGAGGGTACACCGAGGTCGCGCACGAAAGGCGCGGGATGCAACGGTTGACCAGCCCCCGTGTAAGTTCGACAGTGCTCACACTTACCCAGCCTCATGAATTGCGACTTGACCTGGTTGATCGGAAGGTTGACCTCTGCAGACCACGTGGAGAGGCGCTCGAAGTCCTGCTGAATCAGGTCGCAATCATTGGGTGTGCTGATTATTCTCCACACCTTCAAGTCATCTGCGAACATCGCACAAGGTGATTGGAGTAGCTGAGGCACATCGTTTACATGCATGAGAAACAAAATCGGCCCTAGTACAGTGCCTTGGGGCACGCCAGTGCTCAATGGATACCAATCGATTAAATGGTTGTCCACCTGGACCCTCCACTTTCAATCAATAAGGAAATTCCTGATCCATTGGTGTAACTAGGCAACAACACCGCACACCCTCAGCCTGTCGAGGAGCACTACATGCTTTACCTTGTCAAAAGCCTTACTGAAGTCAATGTAAATGACGTTGACCGACTTGCCTTGGTTCAGCGCTTGTAACCATTCGTGCCTCGTCAACAGTAGGTTGGTGATGCACGAGCGACCTCTTATGAAACCATGCTATGCGGGCATCAAGAGGCTTTTCGACTCGAGAAGCTGCAGAAGGCTCTTCTTCATGATCTTCTCTAGTGTCTTTGCCAGAACAGCGATCAGGCAGATCGGCCGGTAGTTATCCACTTTTCTTGGGTTACCACCTTTCGGTATGGGCTTTACGACTGAGCATTTCCAGTCGCCCGGTAATATTCCACTGGATAGTGACCTGTTGAACAGCGCAGTTATAGAAGGCGTGATGATGACCGATAGGGACTTTAGAATCAGTGGGTGCATTCCATCTGGCCCAGCAAGCTTCGTCCCGTCAAGACTTGCTAGAAGCTTGCGTACATCTTCAGTGCTACAATCTAGGCTGTTTAGTTCAGCGTGAGCAGTACTCGTCGAACTCGTTACAGCCACCTGGTCACTTGCAAATACGGAGGCGAAGTGCGCCTCCAATGTGGACGCACGGTCTGTGTTCGAGGTTAGGGGCTGTCCATCTGAGCCTTCCAACACTGGAAGATTGCTTACAGACCTCAAGCGCCGTTTCACATAGGTGAAGATCCTCCTGGGAGCAGTTTTTGCGACGGTTGCACGCTCCTCTTCGAATCTTCTACGTCTTTTTTGTTTTCGCGTTGTTGCAGAGATTTTGCTGTACCTTGTATGTCGTGTAGTCTTCATCAGAGCCAGATAACACGAATTTGTTCCATAGTCTGCGTCGTCGTCGGGCCAGTTTGCTGTACTCCTTGTCAAACCAGTGGTTTGACTGGCCCAACTTTCCGATACTTGAGGTGTACAAATCGGGTGCACAACGATTTCACTCCCTCTGTACTGATAGTACAACAGGTGACTCGCTGCTCGAGTGAGGCCATTAAAGTCCGCCCTCCAATAGTTGAAGGCTGGCTCCAGTCGGGGAAAATACGGCAGCGGTAGTTCCAAGGTCGCTATGATCATCGAATGGTCACTTGCTCCCAGAGGCTCTAAGATTTGAATGCCATACACACGTTACTCACGGCTGTTCAAAACAGGTCTAAGCACGATGGAGTCGCGCGCGCAGTTATGCGTGTCGGTTGGTTGATGTGCTTTGTGGCCCCGGTTTGTAATATCAACTCCGTAAACTTTCTGTCGACTTCACAGTGGCCGGGGAGAAGTTCAGCCTCAGGCCACTGTATTCGGGGTAAGTTGCAATCGCCCATGAGTAGGAACAGCTGACGATTCATGTGGTTGCGGACATGCGGCAAACAGTCCAAGCAGCGGCTCAGTGGACTGCAATTTACCACACCCACGTGCCTCTCGCAGCGTCTGAGGTGGATTGAACACTATAACTACTCACATAGACCATCAGCACTTCGGTAGGCGTTCACTAGTCTCCCACACAAGGAAGACTTTATGTAAAGTAGAACGCCACCGCGATCATTTGATGGTCTAACACAGCGGAAGTATGAGTAGCCGCTGATTTCCACTTCTTGGGTGGTTACGTCGAAGTTTAACCATGTCTCAGCGAGGCGTTATCTGTCTGGTCCCTGAGAGTTTACATAGTAGTACAGCACGTCGTGCTTGTTCATCAGACTGCAGACGTTAGTAAATGCTATGTGCAGGCCTCGGTAGGAACCGCTGGGTGCGCCTGAAGCATCAGAAACCAGTTGATCCGGATTCGCGGAAGAATCCTTGCAACTACCCGGAAATTTACAATACGGAGTTTTGTTTCTCCATCATCCGTGCGTCGCTTTAGTTCATTCATCTCAACTTGAGTTTCTCTCTGTATGCTGGGTCTAAGTCACGCGCACGTGGATCTTAAGACCTTTCAGCCTTTTAAGGCGGGACAATATTAACTTAGGACTTGCCTCTTCGACAAAAGTCACTCTCATAGGTCGACTTTGGCCCTCGGTTCTCTTTCCTAGACGAGCGATCTATTTCACTTTGAACCCGCCCTCATCCATGTCGAGTAGTCTATCAGTCAGAGATTGCAAACCTCGACATCGTATTCATAGCGCACCTGAGGATTGGAATCACATGATTCAGGTGCGTGAAAAACCATGAGGTTGCGGCGCCTCAGGTCGCTAGACATTGTTCTTGGTTTTTTTGGTATTTGCATTTTCCATTCATTACCACTAATTTGCTTATTACAAATTGGAGTTTTAGTGTCAACTGAAGAAATCGTAGGCCTTGAGGGCTAGCCTGACGGAACGCTGGTACTTTGCTTCACGGATGGATGCAGTGTTGTACTAATCGCTGGCTGTTTCCCTGATTGTGGTTGTTTCCTCCGGGGAATATCTGTCTGCGCTTGGTGCTCATCATGATGTCAATGAACCCTGTGTTAGACACACTTTTCTCTCTTTTTGGCATCCTCCTCAGATATCTTGAGAATTTGTTGTGATTGAGAAATCGCTCTGCAGTGCTAATGTTCGCTTCATTTTTGTCAGGTTAACGCATAGCTTTCAAACATTTCCTCAGCTCTTGTAGAATCAAATCACAACCATTACAACTTTAGTTTACGATCACCCAGCTCGTGTTGATCGGTTTCTATCTTGCCAACATTTGCCTGTTACTCGGCCTCACCCCTTCCCCCAATTTCATGTTATTCTACATTCACACCCTCAGGCTCACCGATTCGTCACTTCTGGCAGTGGACCGATTTCCCCAGCTACATTCTCTTTATCCTGTTATTCACATTTGTGGCTTCTACTATCACTTACATGTTCTCTGCAAACGCCATGTTCGTCGGCCTCCTCGGTTTTGCCTCTCTTCTCACTGAGGCTTTGCTTGGTTTGCCACAGCTAATCAAGAATCATCGAAACAAATCCACCAAAGGCATGAGGTGAGTTTAAAGTCTTGTTTTGTTTGAGTTTATTGTCTCACCACGCACGGTTCTCCCCATCAATGTGGCTACCTTGGGTGTGTGATGACATTGACTTTGTGTGCGTTTCCCCTGTATGACATGCGCAACTGCTGCATTATCGTCCGCCAAACATGCTTCCTCTCATTGGGTTGGTGCTATTTGTCGACGGTTCACCTAGCGCCTTCTGATCTCCTGATATAAGGATCACTTGTTCCTCAAAAGGGTCGCACAATCGTGTCATCACAACCCTGTTTCATGGCCTCGTGAGTTTGATCGGTGATGTAGACGGTTAATAATGTTCAGGTTCTGGAAAGCGACTGATTTCCGACAATTTGTGCTGTATACCGGCCCGCACTTATGGGAGCAGATTTGCTTGGGGACTACCACAACGACTTCTTACACTTGCATCTTGGTGTGTATATACCATGTCACAACATTATAACATTGTGCAACAGAAGTACCATATCATAGCCTTGAACCTGCACAGCTCAGATAACGTGTACATTTAGTACAACTTGTTGCCTTCATTGTCCTATTGTTAATATTTTCGCCCATTTCGGTGCCACTGAACACTGCGTATGTAAGAAGGAACTTGTATATGTGTCTGCACCGACACTGAATGGGAAAGATGCCTTTTTGGCGAGGTTGGGTCATGCAGAAGCAACTTACGCACCGCTAGATATCAGTGCGTTACTACGAATAGTGCAGTATAGCTGTACATGCCCGTTGTCATAAGAATCATAAGCTTGCGTGCGCGAATACGAGCCTGCGTAGGGGAACGGGTGACCATCGCTGTACCCGAGCAGCGGAGGTTCTGCTGGTGTGGGGCGCTAGTAGACGATGTTTAACTGATCCGTCATTGGTCCATGTCGTCAAAGTTACCGATCACGTGGTCGTTGCTAGGTACCAGGTGTATCTGTCTCTGTTCGTCGGACAAGCTGATAGGCCAAGAGTATGAAAGCCGCTGCAGGTGCGGTGTCTTTATTTAAATCCATGACTAATAGTGTATTGTCGGCATGGTTCTTGTATAAATTGGCTACTTCATGATGTTACTATATTCTCTTTATTCATGCCAGCAATGGGCAGCCCATAGTCACACCATCGATCTGTCAATATGTTTTTCCTTGGATGTAACCTTTTATGTGCACAGTAGAAGGACGTTTTTCAACATTTCTGTAGACAAGTGTAGTCGAATATTGTTTTTGCGATGAACTCACCTAGATAGTCGACAGTCTCATTTAACGGAACGTTGGTAATAAGCGGCTGCACGTCAAGTGATCACATGCGCTTATGGGCTACGTTTCTGCCTCCCAAATGAGGAGGTTCTCCAAATGTGTTCGACAAAGTGTTTTACTGGGGATCTCACTGGTTCAAGCTTGCAGTTCAAGCATTTAGCGAAGGCATGATATGACGAATTCACCATGGAGATTATTGGCCGTATAGGCACTCCAGTTTTATGCACCTTTGGTAAACCGTGCATATGCCGAATGTGGGTGCTCACTGATTTTAGTGTTTGATATTCATCCTGTGACATGAACCCATGAAACAATAAGATCTACACTTCCCGACACAATTGCTTCTGGACCAACCGGACTGTGTCGAAAGTCGGGTCTGGCTTGTATTTAGCAATGTCTCCATTCTGAGTAGGTAATCTCCCTTGTCAAGATTTACCACTCTGGAACCACTTACAAGCTGAATGATAACCACTTCTGTCTGGTGGGTCATTTTACCATACTCGTTGTGTGATTGTATTGTTACGCGGCATCTCTACCTGATTAGATCAAACAAGCTTGAAACGCGTAATGGAGTGCAGTGTTTTCGGGTAGGCAATTGACAATTCCCGTAAGCCACTTCTGTCATTCGTTCCAGCTTTGTTGTGATGTTTGATTTTTCCTAATGACGGGCTGTAAGCAGTCGGTAGTTTCACTTCTCTTGGCGAGGATGGGTGTCTGAATTTTGAAGTTAACTTTTACATAACTCGAACTTCCCGTATTAATTTTCCATCGCAGTCTTGCTGGACCTTACCGTTGGGCGATAGTTTGCGTGCCTCAGCGATCCATTGAGCTGTGCTGGGTTGTGTTTTTCACATATTCATTGTCACTCATACCAGATTGGTCAATGGTTAGATGTCAGGCAAACTCAGTCTCCTGGTCCTCTAGGTTGGGGGTTGGGGTGAGGGTGGCTCCTTATTCCTTAAAACGGCCTCCATGTAGCCCACTGCCATACCCGCTGCCTTGCGGTCAGGTTTTTGAACCAAAGGCTTTGGTTGAGAACCCTAATCCTTCTCCTCTCTAAGTCTTGACAACATTACAGTATGCTGCTAGCGCAAAACAGCCATGGACTTCTCTCCACATTATTTCTTGATGTTCTGGCCTTCGCAGAGGATAATACACGACGGTCTATCTGCTGCATCGAGCAGTGTGAATAGGGGTTTGGATGCCTCTGCTAAAGCCTTCCCGTCTTCTTATCCCCCTCTTAGGCTTTTCACTCTTATCGTTGCGGCACGATAGCTGGGGTTTGTTCTGCCTATAGCTAACGTGTATAATGGTCATATGAATTTTCGACACTGGCACCATGAGGGAATTTCTCTTGGATTTTTAGGCCCTTTAGATAGCACCTAGGTGAAAATTGTTCTCCTCTATGGCAATGTGACTTAACTCCATATTTTAATTTCAGATGCCTTTAGGTGTTTATCCTGGTTGTCTGTGCACCATTGCTGGTATCCACAACGTCGAATTGTACAAGCAAATATTGAACCACCAAAGCAGGATTGGATCGTTACGGCAGCGTACATGGCTGAATAAGTTGCATCGATTAAACACGTACAGCGTAAAGCTACCCGCCACTTACCAAGGAGGATCTTGTTCTCCTCAGCTTATTCAGGTCGACTTTAGTCTTGCGAGTGACAGCCAACGAGAAAGGAAGCTATTGATGACTAAAAAAAGTTCTGTTGTTGCATCTTGCCTTTCAGGCTGGAAACACTAACCGGTCTACGCTTGACTCTAAATTTGGCGGAACTTTCGTATTTTCATTTGTCTCGCAGTCAGGTTTCTGTATGAATTGTTTGTGGTGATGTTAATTCTGGAAATGGCTATTTATGGTGCGAAACTTGGAAAGCTACATAAACCTCTCTCACTTCTACCCCTAATCCTCACAAAACGAAACGTTATGGTTTTTATGGGCTCTCTGGTCCTGAACGTTTACTCAATGCATTTTGTTTTTTATTTCATCCTCTTTACAGCCTTTTCTATTCTTCATTAATGAGACCATCTCGTGATTTCGTTTTTGTCACTGCTTCACCAGCACAAGGTCCTGTTGTGCTGCTGTACCATTGCTGGTGATGGTGATTGTTCCTTGTCACTGAACCGGATGATAATAGACTACTAAGCTCCACGTTTAGTAGTTTAACTTACCCTAGCTTTTTATCCTCGATTATTACCCAAGTAACTACATGAGCGTTTACTAATTGGACAGGTCGATTTAAAGATACTTTGTTCCACAATTCCATCATGGCTGACATACTATCGTGTGACCGGGATGTGTCTAGCGATTTTCAAGTAAATTGCCGCACATTGCGCGCCTTGAGAAAACCGCGAGGAATTCTAACGGCAGTCCGTACATCCAATCGGATCTCACACGATGCACTACGCACAAATGCGCGGCGACTGCCTACTCCAACTTGCATGGCGTTTCGTACGATGAGGCGCAGAATAGGGATACTTGAACGATCGATACATCCTGGTCCATGTTTGGGGTCAGAAGGTTTCGCAGACCAAGATGAGCGGTGACATTCTCGTCAGTTATCAGTTGGTCTCCCTCTCAGCTATGGAACACAAGTCTACTCTCCCGTCTGTGACGTTCTTGCTAACAGAATGTCGTAGCATGTTTGAGGCTCAGCGCGTTCAATTTATTCAGCAGTATCACCAATGTGACTTAAACGTCGCCAAAGCAGCTCGAAGATATAACACTTTAAGCGCTGCAAAGCGATCCGTCAGCGGCCGTTACGTGCTTCAGTTAGTGAATAAGTTCCACGAAGCTGGGAGTGTGTGCGACGCAAGAAAACCGTGGCGGCCTTGCACTAGTACTGCAGATTTTGTAGCTTTCACCGTTGTACGTGAAATATCCGGGAGGCCAGATCTCAGCATACGTAGAAGCGCCCAGCATTGTGAAACCACAGGCTACGCAGTTCAGAAAATTTTGAAAGAACGCAATCTTCGTCGGTTTCGTACACTCCAGGTTCATGTTTTGAATCCAAACGTTCCGGATAAACGGAATACAATTTGCCTTTGGTTTTTGGATCACATATGCATTCACTCCGTAATGTGTACGAATGAGTCCGTTTTCCATTTGCATTTAACGGACAAACAATATTTCTGGGCTAGTTCAAATCCACGCAGATACACAGCGTCACGTATTCAGCATAACGCCAGCTGATGATCTGGGCTGGAATTACCGGTCAGAAAATCGTTGGACCATTTTGCTTTACCAGGAACGTGACCGGTAAGTTGTTTTATATTACTCAGCCCTTACTTTTGCTAGCATCGTCGTACAAGGAATTACTCCAGACTTGCGTATTGCCACAGTTGAAGGCGGATGGTGTTCGCAGCAGCATGATGGTGCACCAGCACATGCTCAATCGGTGCGAAAATATCTCTGCGAGGAATTCCGCCGACGTTTAATCGGTCGTGGAGACCCCATTGATTGGCCCGCACTGTCACCCGAGTTAAATCCGCTGGATTTTTTTCCCTGGGGATATTTGAGACGAAGGGTTTACAGAAACAAGCCGATTTCCCTCGTCCAATTGCAGCAGAATATTGTGAATGAATTCCACACCATCATCACCGTGACGTTGCAGAAAGTACCTGCCAGTTGCATCAAGCGATTTCTGTACTGTAGTCAGAATGCAGGTGGACACTCAATAGCTCCTTCCATGAGATCTATATCCGTCTAACCCTGCTTCTGTAAATATATGTATCATCGATTGCACATGACTCGAAGACTAAATCGGTCTCCGGACGAATGGTGTCAATGATGGGTCGGACGAACTTATTTCTGTGAGCATTGTCTGCTTCTTCAGCAATCTGCGCCATTCCGAACGCCGTGATAATTTAGGGGTAACCGATGCGGAGATTAGCGCCTACGTATTGGAGCATTTGGTGCAAATGATCTGCAATTCACAACGGATCCATAACTAAGAGATTATTGGGGTCTCCGATACATCGTTTATAGGAAAATTATTTATCGGTCATGGTGCTATTGCGCACCGAACTCCTTGCTTGTAGCAGAGGCCTCCGTTTGGGTACCCTGTAGCTTACCGATCCGTTTCAGTGCGCCTAGTCTATGCAACCTCAGGGATCCATATTTTGCACCGCCATGTCTACCTGTGTGGGCTGCTACCCAGATGACGGAGGGACTTTGTCAGACAGATACTTCAACATAGCAGTTGCTAATTTTACTATAAAAGGGATGGATTTTTCGTTTTTATCACAGTAGTCCTCTCCGCACACATGATTTAGGTTGTGTAGAATCAGCTCTGCCATTATCAGGTTGCCGCGTACTCGGTGCTACTGTCAGCTAAACAGTCCCAAATGTTCCAGTCTTTGCTCCTATGATAGATCGCTCATTCCCATGACATATTTAGATGCTCGACGTTGAGGCCACTCAAGTGTGGTAAGGTCATGCTTTAATCATTGGATGCCACGTCTGAATTGTGTATTCGACATGAGGCGAACATAAGCACTAAGCATCTGTCGGAGTATACAGCAGTAGGTACTCTGGTCTCGCATGGAGAGTACCTTGCATTTGCTCACGTCGAAACTGCGCAACTTTCCCTTTGGCCACTGCTGTACCATGTCCAAGTCATACTGCAGCACATCCAAATCAGACTTCGACAGAATCCTGCGCTATATCTTGATGTCGTCAGCAAACGTTAGAAAACTTGACAAATACCAAAAACAATTGTTGCCCTAGTACAGAGCCCTGAAGCATACCACACTCAACCTATATGGGGTCTGCTAACGAGTTCCCAACTCTAGCCACCAGCTGCCGTTGTAGGAGAAAGTTGGGTGTGGTTGAGCAGATACGTAAGCTTTTGCAGGACAGCTTCCGCGGTAAATTTGATGTGGTTGAGTTCCTGCGTTGGGATAAAAAAGATGGAAGATCACCTGATGGTAAGACCCACTTCAATGTGGATTCATATTGCGTTCGTGGATGCTGTTTGCTATTGGGAACAACTGCGACAAGGCCAGTGCTACTGTATGCATCTGAGACTTGACCACTTCTTACGGAAGACATCAAACGGTTGACCGTCTTTGATTACCGGGTCTCACGCAGTATTGCACGCGTCTGGTAGGAACACCGGGTGAGCAATGCTGAAGTCCGCCAGTTGGTTTTTCGCAAGGAACTCTCTGGTGCCTCACTTCAGTGTCTGTTGAAGTTGGATCTCTAACGTTGCTTAGGTCATGTACTCCGTACACCACTTAACCGCCTTCCTCAGCGAGCATTATACGTCGTCGCTTCACCGTTGGGTGAAACCACGAAGTGTTCAATCGTTGACGTGACATAAGGGTGTGAAGAAATCGACCGAGGGACTTGGTCAAGCAGATACGTGCTGTCTCCGTGGATGGGGCCTCGTGCTAGTCCAATCTGATGGTTAGAGACTGTATCAGACGTGGCGCATTGTCGGAATCAATGCTACCTCTGGATTCGTTCTCTTGCGTGTAGCTGTTCCTACTTCAATGCGATTAGCTTCATGAACCTCGTTCTTGCTTCCATTCTGCCAATGCCATATTTAAGTCTAACCGCATTTACTTATCATCCTTAATTATTGCCACTCTGGTGACGCGATTCGTGGCAACTGCATCCACAGCACTTTGGTGCCCGGATCATGATTTATAAACTGCACGAAACTTAACTGAAACAACCGGGTAATCTTTAAGTATCGTAGATTATTTAGGAACAGTGAAATTCCAGATAGAACTTGGCTCACTTAACAGGAAAGCAAAATACTAAAAGCGAGAAAATACTTCTCTACTAAGTCGTTATTATTCCTAACTTGAAACGTGTTCCCCACCCATTGTACTTCGAACTGAGAGTGGTAAATATTTGGTACATTTTACCTGAACATGTGCTGGAGGCAACATCTGTGCAGCAGTTGAAAACGTAGTTAGATCTATGTTTTACCACCATTCGATTCAGAGAACGATTGCACACACATATCACATTTATGAGTCCTCCAATACTGTGAGTCAAATATTTTAGATGTTACATGTGAAGGACAACGATATTCACGGCTGACAATTTTTATAACGTTCTTCACCATCTTTCGAATTCATTTCTACTTGCTCTATTATACAGTATTCGGTATTCAGAAGCTCTAGTTGAAAGTGCTGCTTTTTTCCTCCAGTGCTTTTTGGAAGCTAGTTTTCAATCTACCGGCGTGCCCACCATAACTGTGCTTTAACATTACCTTTGATACAACTACGGGCACATCGAAAACTTATTGCTCACGTGTACGTCAGTCTGTCTCCTTTAATGGGAACATAGCTGCGATGAAATAGCAGCAGTTGTGCACCACGTGTACGTTCGCCCGCCAACTCGATGTCCTTTTTTGCCACAGCAGACCCTGTACGTAAGCGTAACTTCAGTGCTACGGCTAAAGATCGGTCAGTACAGAGCCCACAGGCATCCAGTTTTCCGGGAAACATTCTGTCCTCAAACATTAACCAGAATGTCCAAGTATCCCTGGTCTGCGCCTGATCGCGTGAAACGCCATGCAAGTTGGGGTAGGCAGACGCCACGCTTTTGTGCGTAGTGCATCGTGTGAGATCCGATTGGATTTCCGGACTGCCGTTAGAATTCCTCGGGGTTTTCTCAGGGCGCGCAATGTGCGGCAATTTACTTGAAAATCGCTAAACACATCCCGGTCACACGATAGGTAATTGATTGCTATCTACTTCTTCATTAAACTGTTTATTTTATTATTTCCGATTACCGCAGTCTCTTCTACTGACTCATCTCATTATACCTTCCCCTTTGCTCTCTTACGTCACGTTTTGCTCCACCGAAGCGTCATGATGGTTGCCTTGTGGACTTTTGGAGACATCTGCAAGAGTATCTTCTTTATGGTTGAGAAAACTCCCATCCAGTTTCCCTTTTGTGGTTGGCTACAGGTCGCATTGGATTGTGCCATCCTCGGACAACATTTCTTCTACGCACGCACTTCTCCATCGTTTGATGGCGCCCATTTTGGTTGATTCATTGTGTGAACCGCAGTCGTCCATGCATTCACCTCGCTGGTTACTTTCACTTATCTTGTTAGTCTCAAACCAAGCATCTTCTGTGATGATCGTGGCTGTTTTCTTCCTCCTTTTCGCATTTGCGTCAACTGTTTCTTTTGTATCCCTCCCTATTTTTATCTTGCTCGATTTGTGCCGTAGCGTTTTTGTTTTGCTGACCGACAATCTGTACTTGGTCTATGTTTGCAGAGATTCGGTTTTGGTTTGACGACTATTCTATCTAACTTTGATTGCTTTTCATTAAATCCAACATGTGTGTTGTCTTCTTTTTCCATTGAATTATTATACCACCTGTATATTGGATCTGGGTACGTACCATAGGAATCTGTGTTGAAACTATTGACCACATGTATCGTTGCTGGTTACACAATAAACTTGCTGAACCTAATTTCGGTGTTGCGTTTCTTGCCATTTAAGACTGACTGGTTGTCGAAGGCGATGTGATTTAGTCCTTGGAGCACCGCCATGTTTCTTGGCGACTCACCGTAGTTATGTTTCTAGACACCAAAGGTACGTTCGTTCCGGTGGATCGACTTGCTCTTTGGGACTGTCTAATGAGGAAAGGATTGCCGGCTAAATATGTAAATGTCATAGGAATGCTGTACGCACATAGTTCGGGCAGAGTGAGAGCTTACAGAGAATTTTTGCCACCCTTCGTTATCTCCAGCTCTGTGAGACTGATGCCCGCTTCACCTTTTTAACTCCTCCATCGACATGGAGACTGCGTCCAATGGATACGACCTATAAGGCGTGCAGCTGCTCTCAAATGACCAACTTCTTGTCATGGAATCTGCCGATGAAATTTCCCTCATATATGACAGCTCCCGAACGCGCAGTTGCAGTGGATAAATTAGCATTGCTGTCAGTCGTTTCCAGCCATGCTTTGCACCCTCGAAATGCAAATGCCTTCTCTGAGCTTGGTAGGGGCCCACTCCTACGCTGACCCTTGGTAGTGAGTGACCAACTAGAAGTTGTCCAGAAATTTAATTATCTAGGCAGCTATATTAGTACCAACGGGGATTGAAGATGAGGTCACCTACCGTATAGCGAAAGCCTGAGGCGCTTTTACCGATCTTTGCCACCTGTGGTACCTGCGTGACATCACTCTCGCTCTAAACGACACAATACAATGCCGCCGTTCGTTCAACCCTCCTTTGCAGTTGGGAAAACTGGCCCATCAAGTCGACAGACACAAGAGATTGGGACAAATGTTAGCGAACGTTTGTTCGGATGTCTACTCCCTGGGTATTTTCTCAGTTGAAACAGACAAAGAGATTAGTCGCGTGAGCAATGCGTGTTCGTCGTCGCATATTTGGTGCAGACAGAGCTAATGAACCGTTCAAAACCATTATATCACCCACTAGGCTCCGATGGCTGCACCACGTGTTACGCATGCCAACACACGGACCCCCGCATCGTGTGTTGCTTGCGCGCCGGGGGTGTGGATGGAAGAAGGGGGAAGCCAAACGCTGACTTGTACAAAAGCAATGAAGGATAATGTACATGTTTGGTTGGATACATTAGCCAACATGCTAGGAGTGGACCTCAATTGCGTCTGTATTGTGTCTCTCTGTCCCTCATCTCCTTTTTAACTTCCCCTCCTACAATGATTTCAAACCCAAAGCATAATGTGATTTTGGCTTTTATGTTTAATGTCTTATTGCGGCACATTAGCTGAGGTGCCTTTCTCACCTCAGCCTAACGTGTATTGTTGATGAGTTAAACTTGCGTACCGTTCCAAAGGCTTTATGGGTGGAGTAGGTTGTGTTAGCGAGTCAGACATTGGGCTTGCAACCTCTACTCCTCCGGCTCAAGCATTTGCTACTGGCAGTTGTATGGCAGCGAAGGGTCAATGCGATATACGGATGTTCTGCTAATACATTCTGCCTCCGCGTACATTCGGACGTAATCTTAGGTGTGGCTCAATCCCATCATGTTTCTCCAAGATGGAAATAGAAAAAGCTAAGATATCTGCGCAATTTTAACTAACAGAAGTGGCCATGCCACCTCGCTTCACTGCTTGAGATAGGTCTGTAAACGCGATCATGTAGTGTATGTTATGCGTTTTCCGCTCAACCTTTTTACGGATCTTACCAAACAATACTTGGTTGGCTAGGGCAAAGATCCCCCGCATGCCATATTGGCAAATAAACTTTACTGGCGACATCTTTTGCATCAGCGACTTACCGCGTCGTACCCGCTAGCCCAAGCTGATCCATGCCTCGAAGCTTTAAATAAAATAAATAAACTGAACCAGAAGTGAATTGGGTGTTGCCCGCCTGAAAACACTGCACTCCAGGCGGGCAACATCCAGTTTGCTGCTGCTTCATCAGCTACGGTCCTAGTGATCGAATGGCCAAGGTTCACTTCAGTGGGAATCGCAGTCCATCCACACAACGTGTATTTCAAATTGACCCTCCAATAGATAAACTTTTATTCTCAACAATGCGAGGCATACCTTTACAAACACGACCATGTTAAGCTGACATACTGTGATCAAAATGCACAAAAATACGTGTTTGGGATAACAGTGAGTGTATGTGTATGGGTGTATATACATATGTAATTGTACGTGAATGTAGCTTGCGTTTACGAATTTGCTGCAGCATTTTTGACTATAATCGTCGGTAATGTGAAAGTAAGCGATTGATGCCTGTGGGTTAGATAGCATTTTCCGGGTATCCATGGTTTATACTGCTTTTCCTAACTCGGTTTCTAGTCATTATCTCTCGGAACAATAACATATTGATTCAACCATTTTAATATTCTGAGTGCACAGCAGACGACGCCGCTGGTTACTGCGATCTACCCTATCCAGAACGCCACATGCTTATCACCACATTGTCTAGCCAGACTGACTTCCTCCAGAGCTGTTCAAGTTTGTGGGTGAGGCACTTGTCAACTAATTAACAGATTTGTTCTCTAAGATCTGGTGTGAAGAAACAGCTCCATCCGCTTGAAACAAGTCACTTATCGTCTCGATCTTCAAGAAAGGTGTCCGTACCCTATGCGCTAACCACCGAGGAATCAGTCTAATGTCCGTTGTCTCCAAGCTGTTGACATCCATACTACGCAGACTAACCCCGATTCGAGAATTGCGCTCCCGTGAAGAACTGGCTGGTTTCCGCCCTGGTCGAGGGTGTGTAGACCACTTGTTTACGCCCCGCCAACTCCTTGAAAAACATCATCTTTATCACCAGCCCACCATGGTTGTTTTTCTGGACATCCGAGCCACTTTCGACTCCGTCGATCGGCCAGCTTCATAGCGTTGCTTACAAATGAATGGAGTACCCGAAAAGTACATCACCATCTTCGAGCGTTATATTGCAATGTTTCAGGTAAAGTGAGGGCTTTTGGTAAGCTCTCTCCACCTTTTACCGTCACTATCGGTGTACGACAGGGTTGTCCCATGTCCCCGTTTCTCTTCAATTTTGCAATCGAGGATGTTCTTTCAGGGTTCAAGTGTAGGGCTTCTTGCTGGTAATTACGTGACCGGCTTAGATTATGCTGATGATATTGCCTTGCTTGGTGATGACGCACAGAGCACACAAGCCGTTCTAAACCGCTTGGCCATTGAAGCATCAAAATGTGGAATGACCTTTGCCCTTACGAAATACAAATTCATGGTCCTGGATTGGCATCCACCTGCTCCAGTGCTCACTCTTCAAGGTATGCAGCTTGAACAAGTGGACAAATTTGTTTACCTGGGAAGCCGTGTTTCTGCTAATGGTAGCATTGGAAAAGTCGTTTCCCTTCGCATTGACAAAGTTCGTTCGGCATTCGCCAACTTGAGGCATCTGTGGCAACGCCGTGAGGTTTCACTATTGGTAAAGGGCAGGGTCTGCAATGCCCGTGTTCGCGCGGTGTTGCTGTATGGGAATGAGTCCTGCCCGATTCGCGTGAATGACTTGCGTCGGATTTCGGCCTTTGAAACTGAACAATGATATATTACACGTAAAAAAGCGATTGTTTTACAAGTCCCGTAGGATGGTTGAAGTCAAAGCAAACATAGGTGTAAATCGCCAATTTAAGCGTCTATGGATTCAGATGCTCTGCTTTATTGAAATATTTTAGTATGCGTATTGAATTGTTATTGTAGACTAATATGAGGAAGGTATGTCTTAAGAACAAAAGAAACGACCAAAGCTTACTCGTGCGCCGCTTTCTTGGACTTGGGTGAACTGATGAATGCAGTTGTAATATATCCGAAACTATATTCCCCAACAGCAGTGTGTAAGTGGTGAAGCACAAAAGCTGCGAATGAGCACCGTCTTTTTATCGCGTTTGTTTGACGTGAACATCTCTGATTATATATCGTAATGTAGGTGGATAGGTGAATCATCCAGACGTCTTTTGAATACCGTTAGCGTGGGGAAGAAACAACGTATGTGGGAAGAGCGTCTCAATGTTGGCACACACGAAAGGAAAAGAAATTCCGGGAGCATTCCAACCGGCTGTATTGTGTGTCCAGCTTTAGCTTGTGTCCTCTGAGCATGGTATGGTAATTCAGCTTTAACAGGTGACGACAAGAATGGTTTAGATTCCATAGATGATATACGTCATTATCAAGTCGCCACGCAGACGTCGATATTATCCACTGCAAACGCCGAGGGTTTTCGGTAAGGGTGATGAAACAGGCCTTTTGCGTTCTTGGTCGCCCTTCGTTGTGGCATTTCAACAGCGGTAATGTCCTGCTTTTGCCATGGATGGCGTACTCATAATGAGGCCGAATGTAGTCGTTGAGCATCTGAGGAGCGATGGAAGGATCAAAGCGCCCGAATGTCCTCCACAAAAGGCCAATGTGTTGATTAACTCTTTTGGAGGCTTTCTCGGCCTGATGGGAACAGCCCAAATCTTCCTGCACTATCACGCCTAGATCGCATTCCGTTGAAGTGCGCTGCAATATTTGATCCCCCACTTTGTATTTGCAAGTTGCTTTATGGCGTATGCTCAACACCTTGCACTTCGTAGCGTTGTACTGAAGCGGGTTCTGCGTCGACCATTCGTAGACCCTGTCGAGATCATCCTGATGTGCTGCATTGTCGCTGGTTCTAATGGCTCGTCATATCTTGAGATCATCAGCGAAGGGTAAGGAGTTGGAGGTGATTACTGTCGCGAGATCGTTTATGTAAATCAGGGATAGTCGCGGACAAAGTACTGAGCCCTGGGGCACTCCGCACTTAACGTCGATTAGGTCAAAGATGACGCCGCGGACTCTTACATTCAGATGTCGTTGAAACAAAAAGTTACCTATCCAACCGAGGATTAGGTCACCAATTCCACAACACTGCAGCTTGTGAAGGAGGATACGGTGGTTCAGACGTTCGAAGGCCTTTGAGAAATCCAGGTATACTGCATCAACATCTACGCCGCCATCTCGGCGAAT